TCGATTTCAATATGTCTGATGAGGAACACAAATCAGAATTACTCGACGTGTTTAATGACATCATGAATAAAATTAATGAACTACCTTTACACCCGAAAAATAAAATTCTACTATACAGTCGTTACTTGCTGTCAAAGATATCCTGGGACTTCACTGTTTCTGATATATCTAAGACCTGGATCTGCGAAGCGTTAGACAGTATTGCGACAAAATATATCCGAAAATGGCTAGAACTTCCTGTCTCTGCAACCCTTAGCAACGTGTTGCTTCCACAAAACAAATTTGGTCTGAATATTATTCTCCCTTCGACAAAATTTATCCAATGTCAAACTGTCTCTCGATCAGCTTTAAAATACTCACCAAACGTAGATATTAACAATCTATGGGCGGTGACGAGCACCAACAAGAACGTACAGTATGACATTTACAAAGACACAAAAGACGTACTTAAAGCAGTTAGAAAAGAAAACGAACAAAGACTTCAAAACCACCTCATTTCGCAAGGTTCTTTCTTTTCCAGTATCATGAATCATTCCACATCCACATTCAACTCTTTATGGTCATCCGTTCAGAGCAAACTTCCGAAAAACATTTTTAACTTCACCATCCGATATATCAATAACACACTTCCAACACGAAAGAACCTATCAAAATGGGGACTATCGTCAACATCCGATTGCTCTTTCTGCTCCTCACCTGAAACGCTGCTCCATGTGATTGCTGGATGTAAGACATATTTAGACGAAGGCCGGTTTACATGGCGACACGACTCTGTTTTATATTTCCTCGCATCCACTCTTACTGCTGTGAAAAATTCCACACTTTACGCGGACATTCCTGGTTTTATGAATCCATCTGTTATCACGGGAGATCATTTACGACCTGACCTTCTGCTGGTGACTGAAAACAGATGTCTATACATCCTCGAGCTTACAGTCGGTTATGAATTCAATCTGCTAGTTAACGCCAATCGTAAGCGTCAAAGGTACCGTGATCTAATCAATGAGCAGGAAGCAGATTATGATAAAGTCAAGTTCGTCAATTTATCCTTGAGTACCCTCGGAGTTTTTGGCCGATCTTCTGAAAATTTCGAAGGGATGCTAAGTAGCCTTAAATGTGATGCCAAGTATAGTAAATACATAAAAAAGCAAATCGTGAACATATGCATACGAACATCATATTATGTATTTTGTAAACGAAACACGGTGTGGGATAACCCAAAATTAATGTTAATATAATCCTTCTTAAAATAATTATTGTACAATAAATATATAGTATCAATTCAAGTAGACATTGATAAACTACCTGTAAAGCGAGGTTTATCCGGCATTGTTGTTGTATATATCCTAATAATCAATAAATAAAGTTTCCATTATTATTATTATTATTGTTATAAAGAACACTTTAACAAAAGATCATTGTTATGCAAACTATATAAAGATTTTTATATAAATATTTATATAAATATTTTTATATAAAGATTTTTATATAAAGATTTGACTTATTATGCATACGTTTTTGAAGTCATTTAAAAAACTCGCGGGTCGTGTTTTATTAGGTTTAGACCTAATAAAACACACCTGCTCGTTTTTTAAATAGTACATAAAGCACCATACTTTATATAATAAAAAGCGATAATCACCTAAGCGATTTTCAAAATGGCGGTCGAAGCCATTTTTTTTTCAAATAAATGACGAAGAAATGTGTATTTTTTTTCCAAATAATCACCTATGAAATTATACTAAAACAATTATTCACCTCAGGCTGGGTGATTATCGTGAATAAAAACCTCGACTTCGTCTTCGGCGAATAATTGTTAAATAATACCTCCAAGTACGCCACATTACTCAGTGCCTTTTACTAAAAGTCGTCTTTCTGGATGAACCTCATAACCATCACCATTAGTACCACTACCAGTCAATGGCCAATATAAAAGACATTAGACAATACAATTGTGAGTCTGTGACGACATTTGGCAGATATCTATCGATGCAAGTTCGAATTTCTTTACTGGGCATATTTGCCAACATCGACAAAGGTTCGTTCACCAACCTCGTCCCTGGGGACGAGGTTGGTTCGTTCACTTCATTTCTAATTCGCTTTCTTTCACGAATTTTTTGGGAAAAGGATTTGTTTGACATTGTAATATAAAGTGTATATGAAATGAAAATTTCTATATCGGTTTTTTTGCATTTTCTGAAAATTTGGTCTTTTCCGATCACAAAAATACCAACCTTGTTGAAAAATTCGAACCAGAAGTTTGTTAATTTTACGATTAAAGTTCGATTTTGAGACTATCTACTGGTGAAATTCCTGACATTCCATCGCGCGGCCAGTGACGTATGCAGTGTGACACAGTGCGACCTTTCGCACAATATAAACTAAGTGTAAAGCATAACATGAACTAGTGTAAGCACATAGATGCCAAGGTTGTGTTTTGTCCATGCGTGAGATAAACACACTGCAGCTACCGTAGGGGGGTCCGGGGGTCTCGGAAACGGCATTTCCAGCGTTCTGAGAATATATTTGGGTGTTATTTTTGGTTCTCAAAAACAATATTTCAGAGGTACATTTTGTGTTAAGAATAAGGCACAATGTTTAACAAGTATTAGTAATAATGCATGTGAAACATGTGCAAATGCAATATTAGTCAAAACAAAAACTACAATTCCAAGAGTAAAATTTAAAAGATCATTTATATATATTAAGGAATATTATATTGTAGTTAAAAGTCAATAATTGGAGTTTACATTTAAGTTTATAGTTGTATACTTATACGCATATATCTCAATATGTTTATGCGTCTTTAGATTTTACATCGGTTATAATAACTGCTTTATAAATAATTTAGCAGGGCTGAGTAATAGCCTCGCCTACTAAGTACGTCAAACGTAAGCCGTATAATTGATAGCTTGATGCAATAGCGATTAAAAAATGCGCTCAAGTTACATCCTGAAGTAGTGTGTTGATTGCAATGTCCGACAGTGATAACATTATTAAATACACAAGGAAACACGAGTTTTACAGTGTCTGATGTTTATTGATAGCTTTAATACATCAAAAGAAATTAGTTCAAACATTTTACAATCACCATTATTTCTCTACATTTTAGCTTCTCAGCTAACTTTCTGCTTATGCGTGAGATAATCAAACTGAAGGGTGTGAGCGTGAGAAATGATGCTGAGGCGTGTGTCACACGCTTAATGCGTGAGACTTGGCATCTATGTTAAAGCATAACATGAAAATTAATACTAAATATCTACATTTTATGACCATTCCAAAACAAACATGACCATTCCAAAACAAACAAATTTTGAATTGCAGGCAATCTTGTTTGCATCTGTACTATCTAACCCTATAAAGCAGTGCAGTTACGAGTTACTATGCATTTACTATGCATGCTGGAAGTGGTCTGGAATTCTCCCATCCCAGCATGCCAAATGCCCATCTGACTATCCAACGATATGCTACTGCTCGAAGATATCACGGTCTGTGATGACTTCAACCAGGGCGCTATAAAACACGGGCGGTGAAACGGAGATAGCGCCCCTGATCTTTGTGTGATGCGCGTACCCCCCGTATACATTAATTTATATGTCAATAAAAATGGAATTGGAATGTTTATGCAAAAAGAGCTGAAAAAACTAAAGTAAAAAATGTTTTCTGCACATTCCTAAACAACTTGATTGTTTGAAGACATTGTTGAATTCATTTTCTGTATATCTGATGAAGGAAAAAGTGCTTTAAAGATTCATCATGAGCGAAATAAAAATTTGAAAAGGAATCGAGCTGATCGAATGTGGGCATATTCCAAATACGAAAATTTTGGTATGAAATGGGATATTTTACTTCATAATGCGAAGGTAGGACAAACATTTTCACAGTAAGAATATTCTGACATTGCTTGGCCACTCTTTTTCAATAAACATATATAGCCCAAAATTGACAGTGCATGCATTTAAAACAGGTAGAATTTGAAAAAAAAACCAACTACAATTTCATTTTGTTCGACAATTTGAAAACTTAAATATATAACCGTTTTTTGTGTTAATCAGCCGGCCTGCTTGGAAATCCACTGAAAGTTCATTATAAAGTGTTTTTACTAATTGATTTGATTTCTATTATTGGAGTATAACTGCCGCCGACACTCCAAAAATATTCAGCGTGAATCTTTTTTCGTACGATTGTAGTCGTTGACATTGCAGTGACAGTGTTGCGGAAAGCTATAAAGGCTTCAAAATATCTCCATTTTATGAAAAAAGCACAAAAAAGCACCGTTCAATTTTACGTGAGACATAAAGCCAAGTTAAATGTCTATAGTTTGGTGTGTTCAATTTTATCTCAACCTATCTCAACGAGGAGAAATCACTATTTTAAACACGTCCGCGCTTTGACAAGAAAGAAAAAATGTCGTCAAAATCGAGTTCAAAATGCATGTCTTTTCCTCAACAATCGCTTTGTTCATTTTGCAAGTGAAATAGATACCAATTTTAGCAATATAAGCTGATACTAGATACTTCAATAAACATTTATAGTATGTATTTGAGGCAGGAAGTGATTTCGTTTAATTAATAATTGAAAATTTGTGTTGTTTAAATATCGTATTATCTGCATAAATGAGTTGTCTCTATTGTCGTGTGGAGTATACGGAAAACTATAAAGGCTGCAAGATATCTCCTTTTTCTGAAAAAAGCACAAAAAAGCACCGTTCAATTTTACTTGAGACATAAAGCCAAGTTAAATGTCTATAGTTTGGTGTGTTCAAATTTATCTCAACCTATCTCAACGAGGAGAAAACACTATTTTAAACACGTCCGCGCTTTGAATTTTGCGAATATTTTCATCGCTCGAGTAAAATTTTTGCCCTGATATTTTCATTCACCGAGTGTTCAGTAACAAACAACACAAGCTATTACACGTGATATAACTTATTAAATAATATTTCAAATTTTAATGAACGAAACATAATTACTTAGCATTTAAATCCTTTGTTTTCTCGTTTGCTTGTTTACATTTTTTTGTTGCCATCTTGTACGCGATTTTCTGATTTTTTTAGAGAAAGCGCGCTCGCGCCAATCCTAATGTGCATCACACGTAGCACGGTCATTTATTAGCGCGTTTCCCCGCCCGTGTTTTATAGCGCCCTGGTTGCTCCAGACATTCTTGTACAATTCATCTCAGGACAAAAACAAAATTGTTTACCGTTTCGTTTCGGTTACAGACGAGCAAATTTTTGTACTATACGAAGCTGCAATTTCGCCAAACACGAAGCAAGCCACAACGTTTTGTTTAAGAGTAAGTATAGAGGTATTCTTTAAAGCTATATTTCTAATGAATAAAAGTACTATAAGCTTTATATAAATACTTCTTTGTTTCTAACTATATTATGGGAGTTAATGTAATCAACAAGTTATTGTAAAAATATTTTCGTTGTTTTTGCTTATATATATATATATATATATATATATATATATATATATATATATATATATATATATACACTGGATCCAGAAAAGTTTGACCTTCGAATATATATATATATATGTCGGCCATTTTGAATTTTCTTGGGTTCATTATACGCAAACGCATACACCAAATGTCGCTCGCAACGTATTGTATATTGCAATATTCCAACAGCCCAAATAAGTAAAGGATCATTGCTTGACGTTCTTAGACATATTTGTAGTAGCTATCTAGTAATGAACATTTGAGGATTGTTAGCTAATTAACCGAGGAGGTTGGACAGCCAATTAGGCGAACATCTCGACCAATCAGATTGCGCCATTTTGTTCATGGTCGCACGGAGCTTTTAGCATCGAAAATTTACATAGGGCTCATAAATATCGATTTTTTTCATATTGTTATGCAATTTTATTTGAAAATTTCACGCGATACTACTTTTACAACAGTCAATCTACCCATTGGACCGGTATCTTAAAAGGTAAGCGTCATTTTCCAGTTTATTTTGACCTCTCACTTAGGCGCTATACCGTCGCGATGTAATTTAATCGCGTTTCTGTCAACAATCTTTGAAGACAAAAATCTCAAATCTCCACGGTTCGATTTCGCTATTTTTTTCACGATTAGTTAGATAAAAGTATAATCTTTAATTCTGTCCAGCCGGCCCCCCTCGGCCTCTCAACCGTTTTCGAGATATTCACCGTTGAATATAGCCCTTTGTGAAATATGCTGCCTTGTCACTCAGATCAATAATGAACTGCTATTACGAGCTTTTTTC